TCCGAGAAAAAACAATCCGTCTCCAACTGGTGGGTTTCCGGAAAAATTCGTGTCCAGATTAACACTGCAAAAACAAATATTATTAATTTAATGCGAGATTTTCGAGACTCCGGTTCTTTCGCGACGCAGTCGGCACACTTTCTCCCAGATGAAAGTGTGCAAGCTTTCTTATTTTTCGCGCACCTCTCATTTATGTGAACGACTGATGTTGTCTGGAAAATGTCTTGTTTTGTTGTCTCAGCGCGCCTATGTGCATGGAGAAGTACTGCAATGGGGGGCGAAGCGCCCGAAATGAGACCGTGGTTTGTGAGTATCGAATCATTGATATTTTTTTGTATATTTTAGGCTCGTTGTTGGTGGCTGTCCAATTGCGGATTTGTCCTTACCCTTAAAACGTTCAAAACGAGGAGAACACGTGACATCCCTAGACTATAGAAGTGACATCCCCTACGAAATCTCGCGGCCAGCAAGATTGGGTGACTTTCGTGAGCTATACCTACTCCACTATAGCTAAGGTATAACTGTTTAAACGTCAGCACTAATTTCTTTCTAAACACACTATAGTGAAGTCTAATCCTGGATTCCAGATCCCATTTTATTAAGAAGGAAAAGAACAGACTTATCGCCCTTTAATGACATGCAGTAAAAAATGCGACTAGTTACTGCTTTGCTGACGTCGGATGTCTTAGATCGAATGTTGCATATACTGCAAATGTTGAATTTTGAATTGAGAATCGACATCATAGCATTCGTGACACTCACATATGTGCTCCATCCACATCTTCAGCAGTAAGCGAAAAGTTCCAATTCCGAGGGCATCAGTAACTGTCTGATTGTATATTTCTCTCGTCATTCCCTTTCTTTCTCTCGAGTGTTGAGTGTTGGTCAGATATCAGCTAGCCACTTCTTGCACTCACTACCTAAAGTGATTTGAACCCTACACAAATCTGATTCTTGCTCGGACACTTTGACTCACATATCTCCTCGCTTAATTTTATCAGCCTACACGCACAATGTTTTAATTGTGTCTTTAGCCTGCTCCATCCAAAGCCTTCATCTTTTTCAGTCTGTGACCCTTAGCTCTACCTAGGGCTTCATAAAAACTGCAGCACCTAGCAAGTAAACAACAATACAATACCTGTGCCACTGTTTAAGAAGCTAACGCAGAAGAAGAATTAGTAGTCTGTAAGGTCCCTGTAATGATCACACTAATGGCGACAGCTGATGGGTTGACTCCATTCTGTTCATATATTGAAGTACAGTTTTAGCTCATTTTTGAACCTGTATGATCTTAGACAGCACTTTGAACCAAGTTTCAATTATTTCCCTGTGTACCGTGTTTTTGCGGGTTCGATAGCCCAAGACATGTAAATGTATATGCTAATAAGAGTTGTGGTGCATGTCATGTCACTAAGTTCTCTGCTATATTTGACGTGAACTTATATACATATTTTTGTTAATGCGTATTTTCATTTCAGAATCTGCATAGAAAGATATCGAGCACATATTTATTTGATCTTTCAACTTGTATCATATGAAGGAGAGTCCAGCGTCCTATCTTGTGTGTCCAAGCTTCTTCTTCTTCTTCTTCGTCTTCTTCTTCGTCTTCTGTTCTTTTTCTTCTTCTACTACTACTACTACTACTACTACTACTACTACTACTACTACTACTACTACTACTACTACTACTACTACTACTACTACTACTACTACCACTACTACCACTACTACTACTACTACTACTACTACTACTACTACTACTACTACTGCTGCTGCTGTTGCTGCTGCTACTACTACTACTACTTCTACTACTACTACTACTACTACTACTACTACTACTACTACTACTACTACTACTACTACTACTACTACTACAACTAGTAGCGTTCATCTAGAGATGTAAATATGTTGTGCCCTTTTACAGCACGGCTGCGATATGTGCGCCTTTTGGACAACATAACAGACTTCGGCAGGCATTTTTTGACCGGCTTATCCTTCACGGTACGGGCTAAATGGTGCAGTGAAGCTCTTGGCAAGATCCACGATAATAGTAACAACAATGATGATAACAAATAAAATTTTTATTATGGAAAAATGCGATCGTATTAGCGACGTCAGTGCAACAAAGTAATTATAGACCTTTGTCATATTTACATAAAAGACATTAAACAGCCACACGGAATAAATAACTGTAGCGATAGTACAGAGAGCGTGGTCGCTAATTGTCCTCCACGCGACGCTTAACGGCAAAAGTGGACGTTGTTAAGAATCTAAATGATGATGATGATGTCCCACAAGTGTGTTTCTTTTTCTAGATTTCCTTTTCACCTTCATCCTCCTTCTTGTCCTTCATTTATATCACCAGTTAGTACAGTACGGACCTTTCATCTCCTAAATCTACACTTTCCTGTCATGTTCTAACTCAGTGTTTCCCAAACTTTTCTTAGTCGCAGCACATTTTTTTTTAAATTAAAATTTTGCCACTGCGCCGTAATTAAAGTATAAGTATGACTATTCGTATGTAAGAGATAATTTTTTTTTTTTAAACTGTATTTTCGTATATTTCGCAGCGCCCCTGTAAAGAGGTCGCGGGACCTCGGGGCGCCGCGGCGCACAGTTTGGGAATCACTGTTCTAACCTATTCAGCTCCTGTCACACCATTCACCTGGGTCTCTTACTCCTATCTCTGAGATTCTTTGGGTCTCACTACGGTTTTCTCTACAACCATAAGACAGAAAAACATTAGGGCAGGCAGATAGCTAGACTGACTGACTGACGGACAATAGACTGATGGGTAGATATTCAGCTGATGAAACTTGAACACATAAAAAATGAATGATGAATGTGATTCTGGGATGTACAAGATACATACTAGTATTTTGCATGCGATATATACTTGCACTATTAACCATCAGATAGGCTCAAATCGCTCCATGAACAAATGAAATGGTTTTGTCATTTAGAGGGAATGCCTTATGACGCCATACCAGACAAGGCATACATTAAAAAAAAAATGTAGAAGGAAATAGAGCACGTAGTAGATCAAGAACACTATGACAAGATACATCAGACAAACTCTGCAACAGTAGTATGTGTATGTGGTGGATGTGGTGGATGTGGCTAGAAGATCGAAAAGCAGAACCTTATGTCTCCCTCGACACCCTCCAAGCGGTAGAAGAGGAAGTGAAGAAGAAGAAAAAGAAACCTTATAAATAAATTGCTAGGGAACCTGCAAAACCAGCACCTTATAACTTACTTATCATTCAGTTGTTCCATTCATCTCATCAAACACTATGATTTAGTTATCACTATGTACATTACAGTTTGAATGTCATACTACCGTATTTTGGTAGTCTCATTGGCTCCCGGGCAATGTATGTGTGTATTCATCATCAACATTATCATCGTCGTCATCATCATCCTGTTATACCCTTATATATCACATAGGGCTAGCAATATATTCCTCCTTTCCGTTCTACCCTGTGCATTCTTTTGATATCATGAATGAAATTCAGTCTATTTCTTTTGGCTTCTTCTCCCATTAACGTTCGTCTTATAGTTTTCCTGGAACCTCCTTGTGTTCTTATTTCATTTGTTGACGTTTTCAGTGTCTAATTGGCGGTTAATGAAACTAAAAATGTCCCAAGTAAACCCACAAATAGCCAACATATTCTAAAGTTGCTTTACGGCGTTATCTTAACGAGGGAAATAACTTCAGCTTGGAATTCTCTGTTTGATTCTCCTAAAGTTGAATTAAAAAATAGCATCACAGCACTGGGGATACTCCCATAAACGTCCCCATCTTCAAAAGCAAGCGAAGAGATCCAATTCAGATGGCACAAATAATTGTCTGATTGTATCTTCCCCTCGCCATTCCAATGGGTGTTGAGCGTCAGCCAGATCAACGCTATCTCTAGATTATTCTGTAAAGTAGGTCATGGATAGATCCCCTGGTAACTCCTCGCAGCGCCATTCTCCTTAGACTGTAATGATTAGTTTGTGCCTCTATACTGTTCACTCTCTCCTAAGGACCCTTATAACCTCCAGTTTTGTAATAAATTAATTCACCACCAAGTGGTGCAAAATCATCCAGTCTCTAAGACTGGACGTTTCTCAACACACCGGCATCAGCTGGAGAAAATATCAAAAGAACCCTAACTACCCTGGACCTCTGAAGCGATGCTTGCCACTCTGCAAGCTATATGCATGTCTCCTCAGGTGATGTCCAGTATAAGGAATTTTGTCGGGGGGGGGGTGGGGAGGGGTCTTTTATCTGTTGTTTAGACATTCATTTATCTAATGTCATCGCGTTTGTTGAATTCTTCCCACTTCATGTTCATCAGTTTCCTTGGGAATTTGTTTTCGAATGCACCTAATCTGTCTTTTTTTTTTTTAATACACATCTTTTGCAATCTCCAACTTTCACTGGCATGTGTCAGAACGGAAATGATATTAGAACTCGACATTCGTAAATTGGTTTTATAACTATTCAGTTTTGATCAAGGTTTTAAAAGCAACTGTCGCCTTGACAGTACGTATCATAATTTATTTCTCCGCAAGAGCACCTGGCAAAGTAGTTGTAACCATCAAAAGATAATGTCTGTATAACAAACATTAACAGGGATGTTGAAACGAAGAAAACATTGCGTTGCTCAGACCATACACATTTTCTTGAAGGAGGAAGCCAGATGCTTCATTAAAAACAAAATAATAATAATAATGTTCTGAAAAACACACTTTTGAGAACCTAAACTGTCATGTTTTGGGGTCGTTGGACATTAGTAATGTATGAGCCTAACAAAAACTGCTAATTTTTTTTAAGGAAAACAGTATTTAGGCAAATAATATTCATTAAATTCCCAGTTAATTTCCATAATTACATGTGATGTTTTACTATGTGTAATATAATAAAATATTATATGTGCTGTTACTAGACATTTCCATCGATAACTCAAGACTACTGCAAAAACCTCACATCCCGAATCTTTGAATCTTTGAACATGGATACATCGGTGTCTTTGCAAGCTATAGATTATATTGTGTTAGCTGTCATACTTCTGGTCTCTTTAGGGATCGGAGTCCTGTTTGCCGTCAAGGATTTCAAAAATGCCACCAGAATTGAGTATTTACTCGGTGGGCGGCGTATGTTTATGTTACCGGTTGCCTTATCCATCTTTGCTACCTTTACAGTAAGTATCCACTGCATATTTCACGTCACTATTTTTTTTTTAAACGTTTTTGTGAGCGTTGGGATTACTTTTTCTGGACGTGTTATTACATGAGAGTATAAACAGCTTTCATTTTTTTTTTTTTTTCGATTTTTTCACCCCATCTCGGCGACTCCAAGATTTCTTGGGGAGTTCCCGGGAAAGTCCAATGGTATAGGGGTGTTAGGGTGTGAAATAAACACAGACTAACACTAACCAAAACCCTATCCCCCCCCCTCCCCCCCCCCCCCCCCCACACCACAATCCAAACTTTTCGATAATTTTGAACTTTACTGAAACACCTCACGACATCTCAGAGTCCCCGAGATAGGGCGAAATTAAAGAAATCAACCTAGTGTTACCCTAAGTGACCGTTGAGACGGTAGCTGCCTTTAAAATTTAGGGAAAGATGCGGAATGGGGGGGGGGGGTGTGAGGGGGGTAGAGGCATCAGTTTAATTTAGGCAGCTTTTAATAATTTTTTTTTAGTCAGTGGTGGAGGGAAAAAAATGTGAGAAAGGAAAATATTTTTAATAATTGTTTGTACCTGTTTCTTCTTCCTCTTCTTCTACTTCTTTTTCTTCTTCTTCTTCTTCTTCTTCTTCTTCTTCTTCTTCTTCTTCTTCTTCTTCTTCTTCTTCTTCTTCTTCTTCTTCTTCTTCTTCTTCTTCTTCTTCTTCTTCTTCTTCTTCTTCTTCTTCTTCTTCTTCCTCTTCTTCTTCTTGTTCTTCTTGTTCTTCTTGTTCTTCTTGTTCTGCTTGTTCTTCTTGTTCTTTTTGTTCTTCTTGTTCTTCTTGTTCTTCTTGTTCTTCTTGTTCTTCTTCTTCTTCTTCTTCTTATTCTTCTTCTTCTTCTTCTTCTTCTTCTTTTCTTCTTCTTCTTCTTCTTCTTCTTCTTCTTCTTCTTCTTCTTCTTCTTCTTCTTCTTCTTCTTCTTCTTCTTCTTCTTCTTCTTCTTCTTCTTCTTCTTCTTCTTCTTCTTCTTCTTCTTCTTCTTCTTCTTCTTCTCTTCTTCTTCTTCTTCTTCTTCTTCTTCTTCTCTTCTTCTTCTTCTTCTTCTTCTTCTTCTTCTTCTTCTTCTTCCTCTTCTTCTTCTTCTTTTTTCTTCTTCTTCTTCTTCTTCTTCTTTTTCGCGTTCATCGGATGTAACTCGGGGGGGGGGGGGGAGGATTTTTGTTGTTCGTCCACTTCTGGACTTTAGTCTTTAGTCTAGTTCCTCAAATTCAGAGCGCATCTGGCTGAGATGCAGGGAACCAACAGTCCGCATACAAAAAAACAAAAACCCTCCCCCCCCCCCCCCCCCCCCCCCCCCCCAAAAAAAAAATGCAAAATCTGTAAAACATATTTTCGCTGAAAAATCTAGTTCTGAAAAAAAATGGAAATAAATTCCAGAAGTGGACCAACAACCATGACTTTTCAAGATAATTTAACGCCGTGAAGAAGAAGAAAAAGACCGCAACTGGCTTCCGTCGAGGTCTGTCTGTCTGTTTTCGTCTGCTTTGTTTTTTTCCTTTTGGGCTACTCTCTGAAGCTTTGACCAACACTACAACGTTAATCATTATGAGAGGAAGAGAACGACGTGTTTAAGTGTGCTACAGGAAGAGTTTTAGTGCGTTTAAAAATGCATGCCGTTGTACATTCGATAATTTCTCCGGTTCCTTTTTTTTATCTCGACGTTCAAGTTTTATTCATAAATAATATATAGACGGCGCAATTTCTTTAAAGCAGTCACTTTCTTTGTTACTTTCATCACTTGTATAATTTTAGTTAGATACCAAAACGAATTTTACAGTTCTAACGTGAGCTGTGAGTATGATATGTCAGAGGCGTTTTTGCAATTGTTTGTCATGAGGATGTAAGTACTTGCCGATGTGCATACATTATTAACATAAATGCTGTGTGTGTTTTTTAAAAAATTACATTATTCTTGCTTTGTTTCCTGGTGTCAGTGTTTATTTTCAGTTTAATATATTCCAAGCTGCACTATAGGTATAAACATATATTAATTATTGACCTTTCTGCTTTAAGTTTTCAAAAGGTCTCATCCGGAGTGGCAGTAAAACTTGTAAATTCTGAGCCCTACCGTTCATTTCTGCAGAACGTTATCAATAGATCGATCCCATGTTAGTTCTGCCCTGGTCTATCCTGTAGTCCTGTGCTGGTAATGAATGCTGTTGTAGACGGCACGAGCATTTCTGTGAGTTCTTCCAGTGATGTGGTGTCGATTTGACAGTCATCTCAAAGCAAATCATCCCAACTTTGTAATGTGATTTAGAATATGGTGTGCATGTGTGT